AGATCCCACAGCATCCTGGAGATGCTGTCAGGGAGCCCAGCTCTGCTTCACAAGTTCCCAGTGCCTGTCCCTGCCTGTGCTCAAAGGGCTCCCACCCCCAGGACTGTGCTCAGAGAGCACTCAGGCCTTGCAGCCAGAAAGGGGCTCACAAGGACAGTGTGGAAGTGGAAAGAGCAGCTCTGCAAAGCCAAGCTCTGCTGCTCCCTGGCAGTGCTGCTGTGCTGGGATTCTTGTCCCCTTGCCCTTTGCCAATCCCCCCTATCCTGCAGTGTGCTGTCCTTTAGGAACAGCTAAGAAGAAGGGTCTTGGACAAAGAAGGCACTGCAGGGTCCTTTTTTTTGTTTAAATACTCAGAGAGCACAATTATTCATTTTACATGTGCCAAATTCAATGGTTAGACATAAAATTAGAAGGCAGCTGCATAATAATATTACATTGCACGGAAAATCATTGCAAGAAGAATACGATAAACTCAACGACAAACTTGAGCCAGAAGGTTTAGCCATTAAACAGTACCTCGCCAATGCTATATAAAAGAAAAAAGGCAGTTTGATGCTTTTGAAAACCATCCAGTCATCATTTTTCTTATGGCATCTCTGAGCTCCTGGTTCCTCAGGCTGTAGATGAGGGGGTTGAGTGTTTGAGGCACCACCGTGTACAGAACTGATAGGGACAGATCCAGGGATGGGGAGGACATGGAGGGGGGCTTGAGGTGGGCAAACACTGCAGTGCTGAGGAACAGGGAGACCACAGCCAGGTGAGGGAGGCACGTGGAAAAGGCTTTGTGCCGTCCCTGCTCTGAGGGGATCCTCAGCACAGCCCTGAAGATCTGCATATAGGAGAAAACAATGAAAATGAAACAACCAAATGCTAAAAAGGCACTAATCCCAGTGAGCCCAATTTTCCTGAGGTAGCCTGAATGTGAGCAGGAGAGCTTGAGGATGTGTGGGATTTCACAGAAGAACTGGCCCAGGGCATTGCCCTGGCACAGGGGCAGGGAAAATGTATTGGCTGTGTGCAGCAGAGCATTGAGAAACCCAGAGGCCCAGGCAGCTGCTGCCATGTGGGCACAAGCTCTGCTGCCCAGGAGGGTCCCGTAGTGCAGGGGTTTGCAGATGG